GGAGTAGGTTCCTCTATAGATCAGGTAGAGCCTTGACTCCATCTAGTTCAATAAATGTTCATGGGAGTCTTTTTGAGTCTGAAAATGGAGAGGGCCTTACAACCCCAATTCATTCTTCTGATAGGATTATGATCCAGGCCATTTCTTACAGCAGAACAGCCTTTTTGCATAGATCGTTAGAGAGGGCACCCCCTTAATTATTTATACTACACATACCAGGTGTGCTGATTATGAAATTTCCCTTGAGGCTCCAGAAGTAAATGAAATCCTAATAACTGCATGAGAGAGTGGAATGATGCTAGAATCTCCTGGATGAAAATCAGCCATCTGTGTCAGTGATCCTCCTCACAGTGGGTTTTAGGAAACATTACAGAAGCTGATCTTCTCAGACTTCTCATCCAAACTAACCTGGACATGTGAAGAAACTGCCCTTCCAGGGAATCCAGGGCTCTTGTGGGGTGACATAGAACAAATGGGGACAAAAGAATGCATTTCTTATCCCAGAGAGACATGGCGATGGCAGTGTTGAAATTGGTGTTGACTGCATTGATAATTAGTATCATTGCAAAGTGATGGCTGAAACCTGGTCCTGAAACTGTCTGGAAAATCCTCCTTAATGAAATAATGGCTGAGAAAACCAGAGGGCTCTGATTTGGAAATATGAGCTCTTGTCTTGGCAAATGGAGCAATTGCATTTGGAGGAGAGACACATACTTGTTTGACATACTTGTTATCAAGAGAGTACTCAATGAAGTAGAAGGGGAGGAAGGGCCTTCCTCTGCAGAAGTAAATGGAGAAATACCAATGACACTAAACATAGGATCAGAAATCAAGGAGAAAGGTGCTAGTGTGAGAAACAACAGGGAAAGCAATGTATGGATGTGGAAAAAAACGTAAATCAAAAAAGAGAACACTGGTTTTAACACTGGAGCTGATGCAAGGACCAGGGCAAACACAAAAATCTCCAAGAGGTAGAATACATAGATATTAGAATGATTCTTACAATTTTTATGGTTCAAAGGAACAGCTAAAAGCCTAAGAACTCTCTGAAAAGCTGGTATTGTTCAGTGGAAGGGCAGAGAGATGTTAGAAGTGAAAAGACATCTTTCAGAAACTGGAGGTCATGTTTGAATAATGAAAATGGAGAACATACATTAAAATTAAATAAGGCAAGTTAAACAAGGCAGGTAAAATCAATTTTGAGGAACAGTGTGCTAAATTCACAGAAACAATGAAAAAAGCCCTTCAAACACATGAAGAGTAGGAAGCCTGTCCCTCAGCAAGCTTGATCGGCAATTGTAGTGTTATAAGAAAACTCAAAGTACATAGTGCTGTTACTGCAAGGCTAAATAAATCTTTGCTTTGCTGTTCATTATAAAGGATCTCAGGGAGCCTTCTCTTTTGGAGTATTTTGGTATCTGAAAGCATCTAAAGTCATGTTTTAAATTGAAGTATCAGAAGAACAGGTTTAGAACAATTGGATAAAATGCATAATAGTATTGATAAAAATAGTTTGTAGTCATGGTAGCCACCAAAGAGTCCCAAATGTGGAGTTGCTGAATTAATGGTTTTGCTTGGTATGAATTAAATAATTGAAGTGAAAGTGGCAGCTATGATAAATGTTTAAGGGGCTATGTATGCTGGTAAATCTAGACTTCCTGGGGCAAATATATGGAAACTAAAATAAAGACTTGAATTTGTAAATATGATAAATTGGATAAATGTCAAAATGGATTTTGTAGAAGGAAGCTGTCACAAATCTGTGTACTTTGAAGCACAGCAGCCCCTGGGTAGAATTGGTTTGGTTGGTAGCGTATAGCTGGATTTCTAAGGTCCCTTACCAATAGCCATCAAACCCCTTAAATTCTCAGGAACCAAAAGGGAAAGTGCTCCTGTCGTTTCGAACTGGTTATGGTCCTAATTAGGTGAAGATAATGAAACAGAGGGTAGGAACTGAATCATGCATTTCCTAATTGCAGGACAGTCACCAGGCTAAAAAGAATCCCTGTTGGTATCTTTACCGTTAAATTATCTGCTACTGCTTTAGAAAGAGAGATGAAAAACTTCACCTATAAGAAATTTTGAAGGTAGCTAACATTAAACCTGGCTGTGTATATTCTTCTCCATTTTCTCACCCACTCTAGATAACTGCAAAACAATGCCTAAGGGGAAAAGAACCATACCTGCATCCACAGAGATGTAACAACTGGGAAGAAGTATCTTGGTGTCATTGTGATAGCTCATGGAAAGTATCAGCCCAGTCCTTAGCAGTGATCAGGAAGATAAGCAGGATGTTAGACACTTCAATGGGAACTTAAAATAAGTCAAAAAATTAGATCTATGTGTAAATGCACAATGTGACCAAGTGTTGCACAGTGCGATAACTGTGTCTCGAATACAGTAGAAGTGAAAATACTACACAGAAAACTGATCATAGATACAGAAGGGTTTCTGTGCCTAGAGAACTTTAAAGCATAGGCTTGGAAATGATGCCTGGGGTCACAGTGTCCAGTCCTCTACCACTGCTGGCCCCATAGCATCCAGCTTTTCCATGTATTTCTCAAATGTTGCCAGAGAATTGTCTGGTCTCTGATTTGAATGCATTAATCTTGTTCAGCTCTGCTTATACATCAGTAGATAGCTGTCCTACTTTCTTTGTTCATACCACCTATTGTGTGTTTCCCCCTTTCCTCAGCAGTGTCATTCATGCTGAAAACTGAGCTAGATTCTGAAAGTACTTTTTAAAGTTTATATTTTTTGCATTGCATCTGATTTATCTATTGCATCCACCTGAAAGGAAGCCCTACTTTCCCTTCCCTCTCTCTTTCATGTTTGTGAAAATCCTTTTTCGTATCTGTTTTGACATTGGGAAAGGGAAATTTGTGAGACTTTTGGCATGTGTAGGATATATGAGGAGATGTATGCATATCAGCTGTCTGATATCTCTGCTGTTTCCCATAGTCCTCATTAGAGGAAGAAAGGTGCAGAGCAAATTCTTGATCGTACTGTTGAGAGACGGTTATATGATAATCAGTGGGAGAGAAGAGTTCATAGTTAAATTCTGGATCTGGATCAAATAAAAATAAAACAATATAAAATTTGGATTTTGATGTATTTGTTTCAGAGGCCAGACACTCTTCCTGATGAACTGCCCTGGTTTTGTCTAGGGACACAACTTGTATCTGACCAGAAGCTGTCTATTTCGTGTTAATTGGGAGTTTCTGCTTCTTAGAGTTACTGAGCTCTGCAACCAAAAGTCTTGAGTGAGAGCTGAAAGACAACAAAGGGTACAGGGCTTGCTACTGGGTAAGTGGATGGTGGTGGTAGCACCAGCTATGGGTTTGGATAGCGGGCCATTCTGGAAGAGGTGATCTCCTCCTGTGGGGGGAATGGCATCCCTCTTAGTGGGTTTCAGAGGAAGGTGGTGTTGCAGGTATTTCTGAAGTCTGGATTCTCTTTCTTTATGGTGCAGAACATAAACCACAGATACTACAGTAGCCATATGGGTGTCAGGGGTGCTCTGATCTGCACCTTGGTGTTCTGTGAGCAAAAAAAATTCTAAGCTCAGGTATGCGCTATGGGGTGTGCATCCATCCTGCAAAATACATGTGGGCAATCATTCTCATGCGGACAGAGGGTACAGTTCATCTGAGATGAGCGTATTTAGAGAGGGTACTAGTTATAAAAGCATTAACCTGAGCCTGATTTATGGCTGGTAAGACTGCAGTGTGTATTGGCATGTGGTATAATTAACTTTTGGTTATTTAATTAAATAATGTGGTAGTGCAAGCAGGATTGGCCAGCATTGCTCTCCAAATGACAAAAGCAATATTAAGCTTTGTAGTGCTCCCACAGGACTGCAAATGCTGAAAAAGCAGCTGTGGCAATCAGTGGAGACACAACTGCAGGGTATTTCTTCTATAGCTGACAGGTGCTTGGCTGGAAGGCACCATAAGCTGAGTTTGTGTCCTTATGCTCAGGCTTATAAAAATGCAGGATCCTCTCTTCTTTTTTTCTTAGGCTAAAAAAGGACTTCAAGGAACTTAATCTCTGTTCAACTGTACTGTTCCCTAACACCAGTCTCCCAAACCCTCCCTGGTGCTCTAGATACAGGATATCAGATTCCACCAGCAGTGTCTTCAGAGCTGGGGGGACCTTGTAATGAAGTTGTTTCCCTTGGCTGAGATTTTTCAGTTCTCACTTTGCTGAGTGGGAAATTCTGGCTAAAAATCAGCATGGAACAATGCAGGATTTGAGCTCTCATTTTCTTATTTTAAAGGAGGGAGTTTAGTGGCATTTGCTGTTCACTTCTGACACTGCTGAATAAACCAATGACTATGTCACTGAGATGAGTCTGAAATCTAAATCAAAACCTTGTGTCAAACTGTACATCTAAATGGGCCTGAAGCAAATTCTGGAGCTCTTGCACACCTTTACCTACAGAATTACCTTGCCAAATGTCTAAAATGAATTGCAGGCATTTCCATTTACTCACCCTACTCCTCTATCCCTACTTAGAGAGATAACTTCTCTAAATATCTCCTGTTTTGTCAAAAAGTGCTGCTTTTCTACCTCCTATTTTTATGGTTGGTGTGTTTCAGGGAGATGAAAATGTACTTATTTTCTCAAAAGACTTATTTGCAACTTCCAAAGAGTGCTACCTGTCCTTCCACTTCTTTCAAAGGCGCATTTAAAGAATTGGAAGAAACAGCAAAATTGAAGAAAATCAGGCTCACAGTATTTAAGAACACGTGTATAGACTTGCTCTGTAATTACATACTCTTTTCTAAGAATTAAACATAAAGCTAGCTGTTGCTTTGTTGTGCCGGTCTGTGATAAAACCACATTGGCTAACAGCTGCTTTAAAAATTCCTTTAAGAAACCCCTATAGTTAAATTTTTCCAGCTAAACTCTTTTAGTTTGAGGATGGAGAAGGTGCAGGAAGCTAACGAAGCACACACTGGTTAATAAAACTCTAGAAACTTTCTATAGCCTGATGGACTACAGAGAGTTTTATGATCTGCTTAACAGTCAAGGCTTTTTTTAAGCTCAGCTTAAACAAACACTTAAAAATTCAAGGTAAAAGCACTGTGATGGTGATAAGAGATTTTAGTTTGACATTTGAACCTCAAAGTAAGGTTAGGACTTCAGATAGTGGGAACTGATATATCTCTGGTGATCTCAAGAGGGTTTGTTTGCAGGACCTTGTTCCCTCCCCGATACTTGTCCTGATACCTACTTAGGTTCCTGGGTACCCCATTCCCACCTGTGTCCCTGCGCCAGCTCTCACGCTGCATCCCAGCAGCGGCTCCCACACTTTCCAACTCCAAACCTGGCCAGGTGAGTCAAACCTGCCCCTGTTGCTGAGGCCTCACCTCACAGCCTTGTGCTCGCTGCTTAAGATACAAATGATTGGTGCGGTGGTTTTCATATAACAACTTAATAGTTATAATACTTGTCTCAGAAGTGGTCGAACATGGGTTTGGGTCCTTCTTCTCCCAAAGGATATTCAAATCCACCTGTCCCTTCCCAGGCTGTAGGCAACCTCTCAGCCCTTCCTATTGAAGTTGTGCCACGGTGCGGAGAAGGATTCGCAGAGCCGGAGAGGAGAAGCAAGTGGGAGCCTGACTGTGGTGTACCGGCTGGGACCTCCCCTGAAGGGTGGTGGGGAGCAGGTATCTGGCAGCATTCCCAAGGCTGCTGACTACAAGCTTTGCATTGAAACATCAAAACCAGCCCTGGAGGCAGAGTCCAAACCCAGCACCCATCTCCATAGGGAGAGGTTGCAACCACCTTGCCCTGGCAGCGGGTGCTGTTTTTGTGCCACCCCAACCACTCCCTCTTCCTCCAGCCACGTCTTTAAATGGAAGCTGGAGCGGCTGCTCCGGTGTACCGATGCCAGAGCTGTGTTGAGGAGCGTTAGATGTGCTCACGGCTTCCCAACACAAGTGGGGTTTCACGAGTGTATGTGCTAACAGGTTCAGCTTGGCCAAAATGGTTGGATCTCAGCATGGAGGAAGAAAAGCTTGAGGTACCCAAATACCTTCTTTTGGAGAAAAGATGGGTTCCTGTGGGCTGTTAGGCACCTAATCAGTTATGTTCTTGGAGGAGGGGAGAGGTCATGGCTCATTTAGCTCTGTCTTAAACTTGAAGATTGTTTCTGTTGTGATACTCTTTAGGTATTAGGTGCCTCTGTGGCTTTGAGGACCTCGCCTTAAGTGAATTGAGACCGTGTTTCCTTTTGAGATGTAACTGAAGGATGCACAAAGTTGACTCCAACTCTGGAGCGTCCATTTCTCGTTTGAAAGTTACTTCAGCTCTACAGTTACTTAGAAGCTCTTGGAACAGGCTCTGGCTTCTCCTTGTGCAAAATAGAGATAGCAATACCTACAGGGCACAGTGTGGTTCTCTGAAGGGACGCATGCTGAGCACTGGCGACTAACTTCCTAATAGTAGAGTTGGACAGATAAAGATTGAAGCTGGAGGAAAATAACATCCGCTGGTGGCCTGGGTGAGGCTGGGATGTGTTTTAAAGAGACACTTTTGGCGGGCAGTGGTGTCAAGATGTGTGAATGAGGATATTTGTCTTATTCTTTTGGCTTAAGGTGAGTAGGAATGAGGTTATTGAAGGCTTATGGCAGATTGAAGTAATTTATGATGGGACCGTATAGTGCGTCGGGTATGTTTGTGCTGTTTGCAAGGCTAGGGTTTGCAAACTGAACTAACCCCTCCTCACTAGGCCTTTACCAGATAACCCTGGCTAAGCAGAGCTGACCTTCCACCTCCATTGCAACAAAATGTCTCCTCGCTCCCCTCCCCACATAGCTCCTTGTTCTGCCAAACTCTCTCTTCCCCAGACACCAAGTTCTGCTCCGGGCCGGTGATGTGCTGCGAGGACTCCTGCGCTGACTTCAAGGCTCATGGAGGATCTTCTGTTCCTAGGCCAGCAGGTACCGAAGGTTTCCTTCCACACCATAAACCCCAAGCCCCAAACAGTGCAGGTTTGTGTACTGAGCCTCCCTTCTGCTCCACCTCTGGAAAGCTGGGCAAGGGAACGGGGCGGTTTCAGGGCAGCCATTTCCCCGTGGGGAGCTGCTGTGCTGTCTTCTCTTCAGCCAGAAGAGCTCAAGTCAGGCACTGTGTCAGCCCCTTGTAAGGAGCCGCTTCTCAGGTCTGTACCTTGGGGACAGAAGAGTCCTTGTTACAACACCTGCTTTCTGTGGTGACTGCTGATTTGGGGTTTTATGGGGTTTAACTGACCGGTGCTTTGTCCTTGAACCCATTTTCTTTCTTCTCTGAGGGTGCTGCGTGACTGGGCCATTCTGAGGTGTTAGCAGGAGTCTGGCAGGGGTGTGTTTTAAAATAGGTTGACTTTTAACATTTCTTCACTGTTTAGAGTTCAAAAATCTCTCGTGTCTCATGGTATACATGCCTTCTTACAATCCCATACTGGACTGGCAATTGCTCTCATCGTCTCCACCGAGCTTTTACACACTGAATTTTCCGATGAGACTATTGCTTAAAGACAGACAAAATAAGTGCTCTTTTAGGTGTTTCTTATGTAAAACTACAGCGCAGAGCAGAACATCTTGTGGCATCCAAGCAGGATTCTAATTTTTAGCAGTCTTGGATTCCTCCCGAGATGGTGCAGTCTGTAGGGACATGCAATGCCTGTCTGCAGGTTTGGAGGGATATACAGGGCTCTTGCACTTACTGAGGGTTAACCTGCATACAGAGAACTGTCCCTGGGCTCTACAGTGAGGAGATGGCCTGGCCTTCCTTCAGCTGTCCCTTCCTCTTCTCTTCCAGGACATCTGTTAGAATAGTTGCTATTAGAAATCAACCAGGTAAAATAATGTGTGTGTGCATGTATGTGTGTGTGTGTGTGTGTATATATATATATATATAAAGAAAAATCATGTGTGTATATATGTGTATGTATAAACAGGCAGCAACTCTCTAACAGTAATTATCACAAATGAAAATGAGAACCTGATTCACAAGGTTAATTTACAGATTAAGGGTTTTCATACAGAATAGGGCATTTGGGATTGAGAGAAAGAGTTGATTTTTCACCATTTCTAAGTGCACTGCAATTGTATCATGTTAACAATCTAATCTAAAACAAAGCTGGTCTTGCTTTCCCATATTGTAGCATGTCAGAAGTAGTGGGAAGCATCTAAACTGTCTTAAAAGCGAGAGTGGTTCCAGAAACTTGGACTGATAACTCACACCACCTGTAATATTTTAAATGGTTAGATGAGAACTGGCATGTGATCCCTGCCTGAAGGAGTTCTCATTTGTAAGGTAAAAACGACATAGGGAAACAGAGTGGAACAGAGCACAATAATGTTTAGAAAACATTTACAGCTATAAAATGCATAAAATATTCCCCAGGTATTCCCAGTAGTTGTGGTGACTTGTGTTCAGGATTCTATTCTGCCTTTAGAGTGGAAAAACCTGAAAATGTCTATTCCTGTCAAAACAAACACTGATATATCTGATCCTGCTTTTGTGACTATGAATTTTATTACTGAGTGGAGTGTCTGGTTCTGACATTCCAGGGGGTGTTTTCTGCTGCTTCAAAACCTTTTTGGGCCTTTCTTTCAGCTTTCATCTCTGGTTAAATGGCTCCTTATATCCCCACAAGGCACTGCAGAAAAAGCATGTTAAGTTTTCGTCTGGGGGTCTGCCATGACCCAGCATTATGGCTTTTTACCCAGGGGCTGGTAGAAGTCTGGATGTCAGTTGTCGTTATATGATAGCCATGTACAATACCCAGAGAGGCACTGTGTGGATCAGAGGTCAGGGATGGAGCTGCAGATCAGTTGATGAAAGAATGTTGTTGTTGTGGAAACAGGTTAAAGCGGGGACCAATGCGAGTTACAGTAGCTGGGTTTTGACTGGGTCTCACGTTATTCTCCAGATTTCAGGAGGCAGAGATCAGAGTTGATCAGGAATATTTCATGTAATGTCAAACAGCTCTTGTCAGGCTTGCTCCTTGGTTTTCAGAAAGGCAGGGTGATGTTTTGAAAAACGTTTACTATGGTGGCATTGCTAGGCTGGTTTTACAGACAGAAGACACAGAGAAGGGTTCGTCTACTCCCATTTATCGAGGATGCCCCAAATCCCTGATTTCCAGGTGTGCGTTGGGCTGTCCAACCACTCCAGCTCGTGTGTTCAGTGGTCCTGCCAGATCAGCACTTCACTCAAGTTCTCCATAATGTATTCACAAAAAGTGATAAAACATTCCATGAGAGGCCTCAAGGAATGATTAGTTTAATCTTCAATTAGTTCCCGCTGAGACTTGATGAGAAATCATTTGAAAAGGTATGCATGAGTTTTAATACCGTCTGCCTGTCCGGTTATCAGGAAGCACAGTGTGCAGAGAGGGAAGATGTTGCAAATGGGGAAAACCAGGACACTAGCGCTGAATATTTTAGACTGCTGCCTGTGGTAAGTTTTTGGTTTACTTGAGTGACTTCAGCCACTGGGTTTTGCTATGGGGCATTAAGGACAGTGTGGGGAAGTCAGTGCAAACAGTGTGTTCAAGCATGCAAGCCATCACTCTTGGGTTAAGGTTGCAGTGTGTTAGCTAGCAGAGAATGTTTTCATTTACATGGCTAGTGGGGCGCTGAGAAGAAGCAGTCATACTTGTTCTTGTTGCTTTCTGTTTGCACAGCAAATGAAAAACACTGGCCACTTCAGTGAAAGAGAATGAGATACTGTGTTGTGAACTGGCTTGGGTTTATAAAATGGTTTTGGGTTGCTTCTTTGCAATTAGATAGTGGTTCCTTGTTGCTTTCTGTAGAAGGTGTCTGGTCCCACAGTCATTAAAGCTGTTTTATGTAACCAATAAATCCCACCCTGATGAGGAACTGAAGATTTGATTAGAACATGTGGATCCAAAAGTGCTCTTTCTGGCTATGCAGAAACCTGTCAACTGAACAATTAGGAATGAAACAGAATAAGAATTCCCTATCGCCATTCACATCAGCTACAGACTCCATTCAGACAGCTTGTCTGTACTTGCTTTTCACACGGAATGTCTCTGCACCTCTGTGGGTTTAGGTTCCACACATTCTAGGTCTACATATCCCCCAACCCCTGCCAAACATCTGGGTTAGGTTTCTTATTTATGATGGGTGTACCCAGCCCCCTGTGGAGTTTGGCTGGAAATAGGTAGCCCCTACACTACTGAAAATCTGGTCTGTAGCTCTTCAGTTTTGTTAATCTTCAGAATAACCTTGTTCACCTACTGGTGGTGTCTTTGCTGTCAAAAAAGAGTCATTTGAGTGCTCGCTAATCTGCAGCAGGTGAACTAAATCCTGTTAATCCATAATTTAATCTGTTGATTGCACTCACATGATCTCCTCAGCAGAGAAGTGGATGGTGGCAGATACTCTGTCACTCCTTTTGGCATTATTAGCTTTGCTTGCCTCTGAATGTGCATCCAACGAAATTGAGATTGGACATTAGGAAAAGGTTCTTCCCTGGGAAGGTGGTCGATCACTGGAACAGGTTCCCAGGGACATGGTCATGTCACCAAACCTGACAGAGTTCAAGGCGTATTTAGATGACACTCTCACTCATATTGTTCAGTTGTAGGTAGTGTTCCAAGGAGCAAGGAGTTGGACTGCATGATCCTTACGGGTTCCTTCCAGTTTGAGATATTATATGAGTACCCACATTGAGGTGATTATTTACAGGCAAGCAAATCACACTGCTTTTCGCTGCACAGATCTACACTTACTCAGGGCACATCCTTTAGTTTACAACACTGAATGCCACATTGAATGAAAAGCACTGGCAAGGATTTTAAAATCACTGTTGATACCAGGCAGCTGGTGCCAGACATGGAAAAGTTTGCATCCAAAAGTGTTCAGTGGGTGTGCATTAGTTCAGGAGAGTTTATGAAAGGAGGCAGAGGGACTCCTCAGGTTGGCCAGAATGCTGCTGCATGCGATGGCTAGAAAATGTTTCTTTGATTCGTGGTCTGATGGGTTTGCTGGCAGTATTTCACTGAGGCTGAGAGAGGAAACTAAGACACACTCTTCGGCTTAGTGATAGCTGAAGCAATAGAAGTTAATGCCTGGATCGGAAGAACATGCTAAGGCTGGCATATAAACTGATCCCTGGTGGCTGGGGAGTGGTTGGAGCATATCTGTGTCTCATAAACAGCAGGGAGCCATGGAGAGAGAAAAACAGCTGGAAAAAGCCAGGAGTCAGTGAGGAACCTAAAAGCAATTGCAGTACAGGCTTATGGTGAAGACAGCGAGGGGAGATGTGGGATCCCAGGACAGAAAGCTGGCTGGAGGCAGCACGTTTGGATGTGAGAAGGGGAAATGACCTTCTCTGGCTGTCCCTAGGATGTCCAAGGAACAAGACTGCATGCTGTAAACCAAGAGGAATCACAGGACCCCAAATACTGGCAACCCACTTTGTGTTAAAAGGGGCAACGTTATATGCATATTGCAGTAAACCTTCGTACGTTGAGATGGGTCATCCTCCTGCCTAGCGCAAGACGTGAGAGCTAACGCTTAAGTTCCCAATACTGTGTTTGTCTTGGAGCTGCAGCTTGGTGTCCTGCTAGCTGAAGAATTTACGTGGATCATCAGTGCAAAGAAAGAACCAAGCAGGACTTCACAGGCCCTGTCAGTAGCTCTCTGTGGGGTACTACACTCCCCTGAAAGACTCTGAGCATGGAATTGGGAATATATTCGAGACCAACTGCAACCTACTGTGTGATACTTCCAGTTTAGTCCTTTGAAAGCCATACATATTTCCTGTACAAGGAAACATATAGATGCTGTGGGATGGCTGACATCACTGGCAGCCTGTCCCAGAAACAGCAGCTACCTCTTGTACAGTCTTGACTTCCATTAGCAACCACTTAAGCAGATAAGCTCTCTGGCTATCACAGTGGTGCTGGTGAATTTGGTTTTACTTA